TCTTTGGATATTAAAAATCGAAAATAATTCAGGGTAAATTCATCCAACCTCAAAAAGCAAAGTGAAATCTACACACACACAAAGAAAAAGAATAAAACACAAGTCGGTGTAACCATAGCCTGAGATTAAATAAGCTTGCTAGCGAGCAGCCTCCTGATCAAACTGTGTAATAACACACTTTAATTACATTCATGCTCCAACTCTCGTAACAAATTAAACTTTTTAAACCAACAGTCTCATTTCAAGGACTCCCCTATTTCTCCGTTACTGCGGCGCCTTCAATCAAAGGAATGCGTCCGTTGTCCCCATGTGACCCCCCGCACAAAGCGACAACGTAACGATAATACAATAACAATAATGTAACTAGGTAATAACTAGAGCAGCTGAATTGTTCCCTGGGCGAGGCAGCGGGGAGGAAATGATCCTAACGTGCTTTCAGATCCCTCAGGATCTGTTGCAGACAACATGAGAGCATCTGAGAGGGAAAGCATCAGCGGATAATGTTACTTGTGCCGAACGTCACGTCATGCTCGACGCACAATTACTTTATACGAGTCTGTAGCTTATTTTTCACGTCAATTACCAAAATGCAGAGGTTTTAAAAGCTTTTTGAAGGTGAAACACTATGCTCCATATAAAACAACAAAAACAACAACATGCTGCTCAGGCTCTGTGTCAGAAGCCTTTTCTTACAAACTCTCAGCTGAGGATTAAATCAGAGCCAGCACAGGGCTCCCTCTAACAGTGTGCAAAAGGATTACTTGCGCAATGTTTTAGGGACTACACACAATCACACAGGAGCTCACAAAATACAGTTTGTGGTCCAAAGTCTACATACAGTATTCATAATAGACACGAATGTCATGGTAATTTTGGGCTTCTAATGATTTCTTTAAGAACAAGATTGGGATGTAGAGGTTTGAACTTTCTCTAACCCACTCATACACACAAGCTCAAATATATAAATACACCTCTTAAATCTTTTAATAAGTATGCTGAAGGTTCTGCGCTGGCTTTTAACTTGACAAGGCCAAGGCCTATTAACTTCCCGTTAGTGATCATGACTGACTATAACTGTTGTCACTATAAAAAGGATTTGTTATACAGCACACACTGGAGAGACCAATACTTACAATGAGATAGTCCAGGGAACTCAAAGGTCTAAAAAGAATTATAGAAGTTGTATATAGAAGTAGCAGTTGTGTAGAATTGGCTACTGGAGCCATTTCTAAACAACTGCAGATCCCAAGATCATCAGTTCAAGCAGTTGTGCATGAGTAC